TTTTATTTCACCTACTCTCAGTTTTGCATTTAAAACATCCTTAGGACAAAACTTAACATTTTTCCTAAGGGTACCTACTATATGAGTATTATTGTTTAATAAAATGTGAGCAATATGAAGACCTGTGTAAAAATTATCTACTATTAAAGTTCTTCCTTCATTTAAATAATTTTCCATTAATGACAGAACAACTTTACCAGCACAAGAAATGTTACTATTAGATCTGTTAGTATCTTTACCACTGTACACACTTAAGTTATATGTATAACCTATGTTGTCACATAATTTATATAATTTAATTCCATATCTTGCTGCTTTATTTGGAATATATTGCCTGAATACAATGCGACCCCTAAATGGTACTAATGTTTCATCAATGACTACATTTTCTGCTGGGACTTTGCTTTGTTTAAATGAATTATTTAATAAATCAACTAAAGGTTGAATTTTTCCTAACCTATCCCCTGGATTATAATCATTATTAGAAATATGAAAAAATCTAAGCAATGACTGAAAAAGATTACGAGCCATAATTTTTGGTACATAACTATTTATGTAAAAAGTTTGTTGACTCCAGTAGTCAGATATCTTAGGATAACCAACCATACCTGTGTACATTACAATACTTAAAAATGTTTTAATTTCTAAACTGTCTGTGTCTATCCATTGTCTTTTGTACCTTTTAGCTTGCCTGTTTGTCTCAGTTACAATCAAATTCAATACTTCATCATTCAAAAATAGGTTAAAAATATCAATAGGTTTAGATTCTTGGTCAATGTTACATTTGATACCACTGTCTCCAGTAAAAATAATATTTTTTCGAAAATCTCCTAAAAACGAATTACATTTTTACAATCATGTCATAGGCTGTTCAGAAACTGACTACTTTACTACTTAACTTAATACTATTTTACCTGTAACATTAAACCATTCATCAGATATGATACTATTTTCCTGTTGAGCTAAATTTTGGGTATTTTCAGTATCTGGTTCTACACTAATACTCTCATCAGAATCTGATTCGTATAAAACGTCACTTGGACTGTACTCACTACCTGAGTCTTCAAAATCAGAGTCATCCAGAGCAGAAAGAATACCATCAGAGTCCATTATGCTTATTAAATGACTAAATTTTAGTCGTTAAAAAACTATAATTTTTATTGCTATTTGCAATAATAATTAATATAATATATTATAGTGATAAGAATTGGAGGGAAATAACATATTATATTATAATGTACCTAACCAGTAACCATAGCATTAAAAGGATAATATCTATGTTGTTATGTAGGTAATATTTATTATCTATGAATTGCTTACAAAACTTAATTATTATTGACTAGATACTGGCAAATTATCACTAATAAATAAAAAAAGAAATCGAGAGTCACCAGTGATACTCAACGCATAATACACTTAATTATATTAACTAGGTACCATGAGTATCACCGGTGCTTCTCATGAAAAAAAATGGATAATCGTGATCTAACTGTTATTTAGAAAATTATTTATATAGAACATTTTTTTGTAAGATTTTTAGTTTCAAAGATATGGACTCGGTACACAGAGAAAGTTATTTGAAATTTCTATTGGTACACTAACAAAGTCCGTGTGATAGACACCAGTGACTCTCATGGTACACACGATTAGATTTTTGAAAATAGGTCTGGTAGCCAACGTGTTAAACACGGATACTTTTGACTCAAAAAATGATTCTAAATACAGTTTATTAGTGTTTGATCTGCAATAATGAGAAGGCAATTTAGTCAAATTATCAAAGAATTGTATCATTCCTTTATTTTTTTTAGGTTTTCTCCCAACTTAGGATATATTTTTTTGATGATCAGGGCTAATAGTTATTCCTCTACCATTGCAAGAATTTGAAATCCAGTTTCTAACAGACCATTCTTTCAGATCTAGTGTCTGAAGAAACATTTTTTTGCATACTGGCAACCAGTGCCTTTTAAAAAAAATTCTGGGGGGGGGGGGGTTCTTAAAATAATATGTATTTCAAAAGTATTATTTTTATTTTTATAAAAACAAATGTGTTATATTATATTATGTTTATGCAGAATATATACTATATTCAAAAAAAATGTAAAAAATTATATTCTAAAATTCAAAAATTTACAAAATAAATTCTAATATTCTTTTGGTTATTCCTAGTTTTGCCAAGACTGCGTCAACTGTTAAGCATTGCTCATCCCTATGAGTCGATATCATTGCCAAGCCGTTTAGTCTAACCTGAAATCAAAATATTTTTTTATTGATGCATTTTGCATAATATTTGATTATTTATTCTTACCCCGGTCATAGAATTTCGTACATATGTTTTGATTCTTTTCAAATTTGAAAAGGAGCGCCCACTTGATGCAGTGGAAACTGGTATAGTAGCAAGGATCTGAAGGAGTTTGAAGACACTTGGGTACATTTCTTTATTGCAAACTGTCATAGATTGGAGTGCGTTTTCTGGCTTTTTTCTCATATTTTTCATTCTTCTTTGCCATAATTTATATTCAGTAAATAAAAACAAATGATTTGTGAACTCCAGATCATCTTTGTAATCATCGGCTCATTGAATAAATTTATCTTCATTTTCTTCTGTATCAAACAGTGACTGAAAATTGTTAATCTTAATCTTATGATTGACAAACCTTTGTTCAAGTTCAGTTATGTGAGAATCCATGTAAGGATTAAATATGGATATACGGTAATACTCTTCTGTAGATTTTGCTTGAATATTCATTCTATGAACTTGTCTGCCTATAACTCTCGGCATTGTTATTTCCACTTGAAATTGTGCAGCTAAATCGTGTGCAGCTGTATATATTTTTTTAAATGAGTTTTCAGCGTTATTTCTAAAAAAATTCTTTTTTTCTAAAGTTTTATCAGCTAATCTAGTTGCTAGTTTTAAATCAATGTCAACTTTTTGCAAATGTTTAGATAGGGGTAAACCAAATCCAAAACCTTTTGATAATATTAATAATGAAATAATGAATTCTCCATCTCAGATTGATTTTTGTAAGCGTTGTGCTTTTCCACTTGTACCATTATCGTTCTATTATGATATTTCACTGAAGACTCTACAATAAATTCAATTTGGAATTGTTTGAATTTGAATTCTATTGGATGTAAGATTACACCATGCAGCTAAAGAATCTAATCATAACAAAATTAAATTGAGGCGAAAATTAATAAAATTAATTCTTTTTCTCAACGAATAATAGTCATAAACTATTTTTTTATTTATTTGTAATACCTATATACCTAATGGATATAATACTTTTTTTATCGAATTATTTAAGACTATTATAATTATTATGAATTTACTGAATTACCTACCTATTGGCTATTGAGAAACAGTTTTATTAACATTTAAAATTTTATTATACTGTACAGTATTACTTTTTATTTTACAAACAAGGCCTCGACTACAAAGGTCATTGGCCGCACATTATTATTATTTTATTAACTTTTTAATGTACAAACATAATATAATATATCCTAGGTCCATAATGTTATTTAATTTCCTTTTTGTTTTTAAGACTTGACTACATGAATAAATTCTGAACTTTGTTGCTATAACATTTTGTTTCTTTATTTCTATACCATTCCAGTGTTCGATACTCAGCCTGAGTTGTAGGCAGTCCATAGAATAATATTATAATAGTTAGGTAGTAGAGTTTTAATTTTATGGCAGTCGCAGTAGCTGTATTTCGCGAGCCAATATAATCACAATAGTTATTGTGATAATATTTAAAAATAATTTTGTCCCGAAGAATGGGCAACACTGCATCTCAGCTTCTCATGACCGTACCGGCACTCACGGAAAGGATAAGGAAGTTCCGTCTATAAGTATGAACTAAGATAATATGGACTGTTAACGGTAGGGCTGGCGGATGGTAGCGGTGTGGTCAAGTTTTAATACGTGGTTTTCTAAGAGGGGGAAATTATCGGATTGGGGCGATCCTTGTGTTGTTTTTTGTAACTATCGTAGTATCTTATATCGTGGACTGTTGCTTTACAAAATATTTTTTATAAATTTAAGGTAATTATACTTTTTAGTAAATATATTTCATATTCTTTATATTATGTTTCTCGTTTCTTATACCTACTGGGCACTGCCTATTACAGTACTACCTAATAATTTTTATATATTAATTTTTTGCTTGTTGTCTGTTGATAGTGTAGTGTGTATTATTTTAAACTTTCATCTATTCTATGATATAAATGTACCTACTAATATAGTATGTATATTTCAGAGTCAGAGTTTATTACATACCTATTCAATTTTTACAACTATGCAACTAATTCAATTCAGTTTTACCTACAGAATATTGAACATGAATATTGAATATATTGGTTACAAAATAGTATTTAACTTTTATTTTTAATCCAAAATGTTAATATGTAAGTTTTATTTACAGGTGTATTATAAAATTAATGTTTAACTAATTTTGATTTTTTTTTTTTTAATGAACTGCTTTTTTTTAAGCTCTCTGTTTTGGAGTGCTGTGTGTTGTCTCATCCTATTTTGGTATTGCATCCATTAATTGATTTAATAATTTCTGTCCAAGAAGAAAACGATGCCTTAGAAATACTAAAAAAGCTGCATTCCCCATCAAAACTTTTGCAACTAATTATACAACACTTTCTGGACATTTTTAAATATGAATTTAATATAAATTAATTTTTTTTACCTTATACTTAAGAGGCAAGTGTATACTAATAAGAACAAAATATGAGTCTTTCAAAATGTGTTATATTATAATTTCATGACAAGTTTAATACTGTTTTTAACAAGTTATTTGCAATATTCTACATGTTGAGTTATGTTATTTGAAACTTATTTCATATTTTTGTTTTATTATTGTTTTTGTCCAACAGATGTCGCTTCAGCTTCATAATTTCTCCCACCACTAAAAGTCCGTATTAAAACATGACCGCATATTTTATCGTCGTTGCCAGTCCATATTATCTTAGTTCATGCTATAAGTAAAAGGTCTATGGAAATAATATAATATTATGATATCATAATGTGCGCAAAACTACAGTGCATCCAATAGATTAAAAAAAAATGAAAATTTCGACTTACGAGGTTTTCGTCTGTAGCCGTCGTTATATTTTACTAGTTATTATTATTTATGATTATTATCTGTTATAGTAGTATGTATGTATGTAAGTAAGACTCATGTTTTTTTACTTATAACTTATAACAAAATATATCATATTGTGTTCATATTTATATATTTTTTATTTTATAATCTATATTTTAAAAAATTAACAATTAATTATTATTTTCATTATAATATATAATATATAATTATATTTTGTTATAGCCTATAGGTACATGGTAATTACTAATTGAATAAGTGCCTCCTTTGCAACTGTAAGGCACATAATTGCATTGTAAAAACATTAATTTAACAATTTTACTTCATCTGGGATTTGAATAACTAAAATATGGGAATAAATATATATTATTAAATATACCTTGTCAATTGCAATCCTAATCATACCAATTTACCAATTACCAATACCATACCAAGTTCTACAATGATAAATCATTATTTGATATTTTTATACTATAAATAAATCATTATCAAATATAGTTTGTCCTTTATGCATACATAAGGTCTTAGACTTAGTTCTTATTAGGTTTTATTCTCTTAGAATATTACATTTCATTTGCATTAATTAATCCAATTGGTATTCTTGTCATTGTTTTCAACATTCTAGTGTAGCAATGTGAAACCATTGTTGTAATTAAATTGTTTTTATTTACTTTAATTCACTCACTATTAAGTATTAATAAGTAGGTATCTATGTGAATAAGTAGATATTAAAATGAATACAATCACAGTAAATTTAACGCCAGATCAATTACCTTTGTCGTTTAACACTGACCCTGTTTGCAGCGCAAAACATATTCCCCCCTTTTAAAATGGATATGCCTTTCAAAAATTACAATAATTGTGGACTAAATGACTTTGACTAAATATTGCAATTTAATTACATGAACCACAACAGATACTTAACCATAATTACAAATGAGCGAGGAATATAATATAACAATTTAAGACATGTTCTGACCTTCTCAGTTTGTAGAACAGCCAACTTGGTTTCTGGACGCTTGATCTCAGATCCCGAAGAATTCCGTACCGTGACTGCTCGTACAATTCCATCAGGGCCCGGATGAAGTTTGGTACACGAACTAGGTCCCATTGCAGCGGTAGACTAACTTTTGTCATTCTTCAAGACTGCTAAGTCTCCTGTTTCAATGTTGCGTGTGAGTTTGGTCCATTTACCACGTCGTTGACACTGCAAGTGTTTGGAAGACCACCGTTTCCAAAAATTCTGTGCTTGTGCCTGCATGAGTTTGAATCAACGCAGACGGTTCTGTGGAATGCCTGTACAATCTGGTTCAGCCGGTTCAGGTGGGAGCTGTAATGAACCACCAATCAAGAAATGGCCGGCTTTCAAAGCATTAAAGTTAGAAGGATCGCTTGACAGTGGTGTCAATGGCCATGAATTCAAAACTGCTTCTATGCGGCATAGCAATGTGGTAGTCTCATAAAATGTCATCATAACGCCTTTGGCAACAAGCAACAAATGTTTTTTGGCTGATTTGACCGCCGCCTCCCAAATGCCACCAAAGTGAGGTGCTGACGGTGGTATGAAATGCCAGTCAATGCCTCGGCTGTTTAAAAAATTGTGTACTTTATTACTCTTTTGGCATTCCTGAATATGCGCAGGATTCGATCTGCGCCGACAAAGTTGGTACCGTTGTCGCTGAACAGTTCTCGACATTGCCCACGCGAGCCATAAACCTGGATAAGGTGCTCAAGGATTCATTTGCTGGCAATGACGCCACTAATTCTAGATGTATCGCTCTAGTTACCAAACAAATGAACACGCACAGGTAACTCTTCAGAGGAGTAACCTTCCTTAACCCACTTGGCACCATAACCGGGCCACAATAGTCTACACCAGTTCGTGCAAACGGTCTTGCGATGGTCACTCTCTCACGTGGAAGAGGTGCCATGAATGGTGATACAAATCTAGAACTGGTTTTGAAGCATTGAATTCAGCGACTTACGGTGGATCTTGCTTTGCACCGACCTCTAATAACCCAGTAATAATTATTGATATGCGCTAACAATGCCAACGGTCCTACATGCAGCAATCTGATATGTTCATATTTGAACAGTAACCGAGTAACTTGGCTGGCGGATGGTAATACGATGGGATACTTCATGGAGTTTGATATGGAAGCATTCATCAAACGACCTCCAACACGAATAAGCCCAGCCTCATCAATGAACGGGCTTAACTGTTTTAAGCAACTGCGACGGGAAACTTGTTGTTTGTTTTTTAACAAAGAATAGTCTTCGGAATACGCTACTGTTTGAGCTTGTTGCAACCAGTGATTCCTTGCTTCCTGTAACTAGCGATTGAATAAACACAACATACCGGTTTTCTTTACACTTTGCCATCGTCCGACAATTTGAGATAAACCGCATAACAAGAGCTGAAATCCTCAGAAATTTCATCCAATCTGAATATGATTCTAATAACCAAGGTGAAGTTACTTGGGATGCTGATAAGACGAATTTCACAGGTTTAACTTCAGGCATCTCTGTTGGTAACGATGGACAGTCTGGCCATGCAATTGACTCTTGACTAAACCATGATGGCCCATGTCACCAAAGAGAGGAGACAGTGATTGTGCGCACAGTGTTGCCAAGTATTAAAATTAAAAAAAAACTAGTTACCTGATAAAAATCAACCAGATTTCAACCAGAAAAAAATCAAATGACTATATATTCAACCAGATATATTATATTTTTCAAACATTGATAAATGATAATACAATAATACATATAAGAACTAAGAAGTAAGAACATTATTGAATTTATTATTTTAATTATTTTTTATAAAATAAAATGTAGTGCACTAGTGCTTTTAATTTAAAAAAAAACCAACATAAATATATATAAATAAATTTACATAAATGCTGGTAGATCATCAAGCATTTCGGTAATTTCAGATATTTCTTTATCTACATTATAAACATCCATTGTCCCGATAGGTTTAACAACACTATCTGGGAATTTAAAATTATGGCAACATTTTTTGTTTCTTTTTAAGCCTGAACGAATATGTAGAAGTGATATTAACATTGGTGATTTCATTCTATTCCTTGACTTGTTTTTGACAATGTTCATTTGGCTGAAGATTCGCTCACATGCAGCGTTAGACCAGGGCAATGAAAGTATTGTCAAAGCCAAACCAACAAGATCTTCAAATGGATTATTACCACCAGCATCAGTGAAATTATTAACTTCAGACCAAAATTCTACCGCAGATTTAGTTTTTTCCCATTTGTGTAAAACAATATTTCTCCATTGTAAGTCTATTTTTTCTATTATTTTATTTTCAATACCAAAATGTTCACACACTGATGATATAGGGTCTTTTAATTGTTTAAGTGCGTTTTGAGGGGAAAATATTTCAATTTTTTCTAATATTTGAATGTTTTCTGGTAAACGTTGTTGTAGTTGCTTAACAATATATATAATAAATGATATACACCTATTTCTAAGTACTTGTTCTTGATCAGATGAGAGTTTACCTTTTTTTTTTAATTCATCAACTTTATTTTCAAATCCATACCCAAGATAAGGCTTTGGATTTAAATGATCAGTAAAATTAGTTGATTTACTAAAATTAAATGTTGGCACAACAATAATTTTTCCCAAACAAGTGACAAGTGATATTAACTCTGATCCTAATTTTGTCGGGTCTGCATACTCAGATTCAAAAAGTTTATTATCTCTTTGAATTTCTCCTAAGAGAGGTCTTAAAAATAACAAATATGCTAAGTTATGTTCATCTTTATAAAGAGTATATAGCATTTCTGCAGAATAGCACTTTTCCTTCTATCTACTAATTTCAAAATGTAATTTTAGGTCGTTCCATTGATCAATTATTCTGACGACGGCAGTTTCTATGGATAACCATCGCGTATTGCATACTTGAACAATTTTAAGTGGTTCATGATTTTCATTCATACATTTATACAGATCCTTATAGTATTGTTGGCGTAGTGTGGATTTTGAAAATCAATTATAAGATTCAGAAATTAGAAAATCTAAATGTCTTGGAACTGTTTCGGCACAAGCTTGTGATGTGGCCAACTGAAGTGAATGGCACACACATTTAATTAAAATTAGATTGGGATTCTCTTGTTTTAAGATTGCATGGTTTCCATTATTTATTCCAACCATTACGCTTGCATTATCTGATCCGATACCGATTAAATTTTTTATATTAAGGTTATACTCCTGTAATGCAGATTTCATTGCATCAACTATAGCTTGAGCATTACACTCTCTCAGTTCTTCTAATGCAAAGAAAGATGTAACAACGTCATTTTTGTCTCTACTGTAATTAATTATTGCCATTCCAAGATATTTTAAAACGGATATGTCAGTGGATTCATCGATAAGCAAACTATATTTAGACTGTCCTATATCATTTCTCAAGTCTTTAACAAAAAATGGGGCTAAAATGTTAATGATAATTCTAGAACATTTTGTTCTATGCATTTTAATATTATCTCCAGTAAAGTTAGTATTGCATAACTCACCTAAATGGTCAATTGCCATAATTGCACTGTGTGCACTTACAAATAATGCCATACTAGCTTGTGTATGCTGCATTTGTAAATTATTAGGTTTAAATTGAAATGATCCAGTACGTCTAATGCATGTTGCACTTAGTGCAGATTTGTGTTTATTACACGCACTATGGTTAACTAAATCAGCCTTTCTTGCACGGATACTACAACAACATACCTTACAGTAAGCTTTTTCAGGATCATCCTTCATTTCTTGCAGCCAGTCCATAAATAGTTTGTCCGTCTTCCACACTTGACGGAACTTTTGTGTATATGTTGGCTTTCCCATTATTCACCTTAATATACTCAATACAACTTAAAACAAAACAAAATCAAAAGAAAAGCAATAAAACAATATAGGAACTCAATGATTTGTTGAGTACTAAACTGCAATTCAAGAAATAATTTTTCTTGTCAATTTGTTTGGAAAATATAAAATACCAGTTTTCCAACAATTATTTTTATTTTTATTTTTACATGTACCTACTACTATAGTACTAGAGTTCTATTCTGTAATATGGTAACATATTCAATAGCTTTAGAATACTACATGTTTTCTAGTCTTATACTCTTTATCTTAATAGCACAGGTTAAATAAAACTAGATTTAAGTGAGTCCTCTAGGACCCTACATGATCTGTGGACTGTGTTAATTGCATTACTGTTATTTGTTCACCTACAATTGATACAATAGATCCAGGTACTTATTTTTATTGTTCAAATCAAAACCAGTTTCGAACACACGGGTTAGGATATTATACTATAATAGTTGGCGACGTAGTATAATAATATAGTATATCGTTATAAGGCAATATTTCAAAAAAAGCCGGGAAAAAAAAACCAGAAAAATGACTATCAACTAGAATCTAAAATTCAACAACTAGATGCAGCAAGAAAAAACCAGATTTAGTTATAAAAAGACCAATTTGGCAACACTGGCCACTCGGCCATACCTCACTACATGATGGCGGGGTTGGGTCCCGCGTTAACAAGTCCGACCCGCCATCTGGTGGAGTTTACAAATGTATACCGACTTTTGTATGTAATGGTTGGCAACGCTTTTTGATTTTCGAACTGTTATCAGTCGTCAGCTCCTTATCATTTTTCGGAAAACTGCTGATCTCCCGTTTCTATGCCATAAGAAAATTATCCAAAACAATTGAAAAATTATTTTCATCAGCCAAGTACCTACCATAATCAATAACTAAAATTTAGGGGATAAAAAAAAATAATAACATTTCAATATCTAAATGTTATACCAGTAGTCATTTATTAATTTACCTTAAAGGCTAAGTTATACTTCGAAGCTCTACAGAAAGAATTTGAGGATGTTTTTGTACTGCATTTTGACATTGACTTGTAAATTGTATTAACTAAATAATGCAGATGTTTGTCAAGATACTTTATATTGTTCGGTGGGATTTAATTATCCTATTAATTAAACAATATATTTTTGGTTGGTAACATAAAAAAATGTGCATAAGACCACACGACAGAAGTAACGTGAACTTCAACAAGACGAAATTATTAATACGAAATACAAGTTTTTTTGCGTTCTATATTGATAAATTTATAACATTTACAATGTACTTAATTACAATTATGTATAATATACTCCATTGAATTTTGCTCTGAGGGGATTTCATCTGCATCATCAAACTCTAAAAATGAAACTTTAGGTTTATACTAACCGAAATATGAAATGAATATTTTTGAATTGAATGCATTTTCTAAATATCTAAAAAAAACTAATACATTTAAAAATTTTTTTTTTAATTTTCCCATTATTAATGGACAACCGACACACATACACATAAATCCTAACATCCGAAGCAACACAACCTAACCTAAATTAAACTTTTTTCAGTTTGAAATCGACGTGTGAACTGATTTCGCATGCTTCCACGACGCCACCAACCTAACATAACCTAAGACCTAACCTTAACCAATTCTGCCAAGTGAGAATGGCGGTGACGCTTTGACTATCTTTCTCTCTCGCTCTGCTGACGGTTTCTCTCATGCTTAGTCGCCTCGAGCCGCCTTCACCCAAATGGGCGTTACAAAGCAAAGCGTGACGGCTCAGTTCAATTCAGTACCCACAAATGTGCTAAACGCGCCTAAAAAAGTTTTCACTTTAAAAAGTTGTTGTAAATATTTTTCTTCTCTCAGACGTTTGTCGCCGTTGTCTGCATAAGTTTCATTTGATGCTGGTTGTAATTGAGAAGTTGGACAGGTACACAACTTCTGAAAAAAAAATGTTCTCTAAACAAAGAAAATATAATTAATGTTTAGCATTGAATAATAATAAAATGCAGTATTCCAGTATTGTCGTCCTCTGGATACACGAATAATAATCGTTTACGAGTGCTAGGTACTTGGCAAAATGACTGAACCTTTATTTGAATTACAACCATAAAATTCTATCAGTAAGTCCTGTTTGTATTAGAAAATACATGATTACAATTTGATATAAAATCAATTAATTTATTATAAGAATAATATTACATAATAAATACCGGTTTTATCTCAATGTTATCAGAACTTGGTATTAATCTTGAACAGAGTTCATGTTGTTTTGTACACAATTTTTCTGGACCGTTATTAGGTGTAGGATAGTTACTAATTGCTGAACTCACGGTATTGGCAAAGTTGTCAATTCGGCTGGTATCTAGAAAAATGTATTTCGAAAGATTATTCTGCTACTGCCAATGTTAATCTTCCGAGTACTGCTGGCATATCATCTAGTACGCATCGGTTCTTAAGCGGGGTTTTGTCTGTACTGAGGGGGGTTCCATTTTTTACTAGGTAGATAATTTTATTATTAAAAAATACGATTACTTTTATAAATATTTTTCTTTTTATAGTTGTAAACCTACAACAATCAACTATAAATACGGTAACAGATGTAAACAACAATGGTGTTGTATTGAATCAAAAATACTTCTTGTAATACAATAAATACAAATTTAATTAAATATCACATATGTGATCAATGAAAAATATTTGAAAATCCATTATATATGTTATAATATCAACTAATACATCCACCATTATTAACAAAGCCATACATTATTTTTTTTAAATATATATAAATATAGACATATAACAATATTAAATATATATAAATTTAATAAATGTATCAGTTATAACTAATAATAATTTGCCTATTAATTCTTACATACAACATGTATGATTGACAACCGATTAGGTAGGTAGGCAAATAGGTATTCAAAATGTATTTTCATATTTTTACTGATTAGATGTATTCAATCACTTATTATTTTAATGTATAACTATTGAATAATATTTATTAAATTATAGTAGATGTTGATTAAGTGTAAGCATTGTAAATTTCAATACAAAAACACTATGCTCTCTTCTCTCAAACGTTTGTCGCCATTGTCTACTAAGTTTCATTTGATGCTGGTTGTAATTGGGAAGTTGGACAGGTACACAACTTCTGAAAAACAAATGGTCTCTAAACAAAGAAAATATAATTAATGCTTCCAATTAAATAATAATAAAATTTAGTATTACAGTAATGTCGTCCTCTGGATACACGAATAATAATCGTTTACGAGTGCTAGGTACTTGGCAAAATGACTGAACCTTTATTTGAATTACAACCATACAATTCTATCAGTAAGTCCTGTTTGTATTAGAAAATACATGATTACAATTTGATATAAAATCAATTAATTTATTATAAGAATAATANTTATTATAAGAATAATAAATACCGGTTTTATCTCAATGTTATCAGAACTGGGTATTAATCTTGAACAGAGTTCATGTTGTTTTGTACACAATTTTTCTGGACCATTATTAGGTGTAGGATAGTTACTAATTGCTGAACTCACGGTATTGGCAAAGTTGTCAATTCGGTTGGTAGTTAAAAAAATGTATTTCGAAAGATTATTCAGCTACTGCCAATGTTAATCTTCCAAGTACTGCTGGCATATCATCTAGTACGCATCGGTTCTTAAGCGGGGTTTTGTCTGGACTGAGGGGGGTTCCATTTTTTACTAGATAAATGTACACGCAGAGGGATTAGAACGCTGCAGCTGTAGGGGCGAGAGCAGTACATTATCACGGCTAATTCGTAATTTTTTTAGTGAATACATAATTTTTTTTCGAATTATACTCATTGCTTGTTGATCATAGGAACATGGTTTTTATTTAAACATAAGAATTTGTTCATATTTTCGTTATCTAGATTTGCGATTTCATAAAACTTTTTACAAAAACCATGTAACTAAGACCAATGAGTCCTGTTAGTCCAAAAAGCATATTTTTAAGGTCGATTTTTTTGTATTGTGATGCCCTGTTTAGTTAACATCAGAGAGTTAGGACGAAATGATAAGTTGCATAGATGAGGAGGAGGATATGTAAGATGAAACAACAGAATAATTATATAAATGAAACTCTTCATTAAATCTAAAATTGTTCGCCATGTTTGGTTGATCGGTGCGTGAGATACGGACGATACACTGACTATCAGTCCGACGTCATCCTTATAATATTTGAGGTAAGTACTTAGTATATGATCACATATCACACAAGATTAATAATTATGTTCCATTTAATTGGTTGTTTCGTTTCATTATTCATAATCATAAATAAAAATGATCATTCAAGAAATATTTTAATTATATCCAATTTTACTACGAGTTATAAATTATAATATACATTTAGTTATACATTACTTATTTTTTTTGTATAAATCATTATTATTGATTATTGCATACATGGAACCAAAAATAAATATGTCACTAGATATACTTGTGTCAATATTAGTGTATATATTTATATTAATATTATCACTTGCTTTTTTCTCCATTCACTTCAGTTATTAATCTATCATTATATTTAAGAAAAATACTTATGATGGGGAATGGTAAACTCCTACAAATGTAGTGTAATCTCCTACAAAAGATAGTGTTAACTCCTACAAAAGATAGTGTTAACTCCTACAAAAGATAGTGTTAACTTCTACAAAAGATAATGTTAACTCCTACAAAAAATTAATACCGCTCGTATTGCTGTAAAAAATATCAGTCTCGCAATATATTAACACATAGTATAAAAATGGTTTGAAAAATATAGTTATAATAATATAATAAATTATAATAATAGTATAATACATTTTTAAAATATAATAAAATAATAGTCATAATCATTTAATCCAAAAACAAAATATGTTTAAATTCAATAAAACAATACTATTAGTTAATATAATTTTTTTGAAAAATATAATAAAAATTTTAATAATACAATATTCATAATTATT